AGAGACTGAGTCCTGGGAGTGGGTGGTGTCACCAGAGCTGCGTGCTGGGGGAACAAGCCCTGAGCCCCTCCAGCCCTCAGCACCAGGGCTCCTGGAGCTGCCCCATGTGGGGCTGAGGCGGAGGGGAGTTCACCTGCCGGGCTCAGCACCCGCTGTGCTCCCAGCGCGTCTTCTTCAGCCTCTCTGTGCAGAGTGAGGTGCAGCACAGGTGTGGGGCGGCCGCCTGGTCAGGTGTTGGGCTGTGGGTGGACTGACACCTGGACAACACGTCACCCTTCTCCCGTCGTCCCCAGGCAGCCCTCCCTGCAGATGTGTGACCGAGGAGCAGCAGGGCTCCTGGCCCCTGGTCCTCACCCTGATCAGAGGGGCCCTCATGGGGGCTGGCTTCCTCCTCACCTACGTCCTCACCTGGCTCTACTACACCAGGTGAGCAGGCCTGTCCCTCCCGGGGAAGGTCAGGGATTGGCCCTGAGGTGCAGGTGGGGCCGAGCTGTCAGGCTCTGCCTGGAGTTAGAGCCAAAGTAGCCGAGTCTCTGAGCTGACACCTGTGTGGGCCCCGCAGGTGTGGAGGCCCCCGGAACAGGAGGCAGAGCTCCTGATGGATCCTCCCTTCCTCTCAAGATGGGACTGAGGTGTGGACACCAGGCGAGAGGGACCGTCCTGGGACCTCAATGTCACCTTCTCCCTGGAAGCTGTTGACTCACCTGCCTCAATTGTGCCCCTGGGGTTTCAGTGTGTGGAAGTGACTGAGTGACCACAAGGGGAGTCAATGCCATGGAGAGAAGACTTTTCCTCCTTTCACCTCCTGAGAGGAGGGGCCGCTGTGCCCGGGAAGCCCCGGATTTCCTCAGGAAGCAGATGCAGTTGCAGGGCAGCCTAGCGAAGGCCTTGACTGGGGTTCCCATGGGAAACGGAAGGCAGGGCAGGGTGAGCAGTTCAGGACCAGCTGGTGTGTGTCAGTCTGGGGGATGGGCCTGTGGGCGTGGTCTCTATTGTCTGGTCCCAGGTCCTGGGTGATTTGGGGCAGGTGGGGAGGCTGGGAATATGGGCTCAGGTTGGGTTGGTTTGCATCTGAAATTCTTTGCTGTCTCTGAGAATGGGCCATCCTGGGAGACCCTGTGCCTCCTTCTCTTCCAATCTGTTTAATGGCTCAAAACATCATGAGATACAGAAATAAACAATAATACACACCCACTGAGGGCCCCTTGTTTCTGCCTGTGTTTCTCCCATTTGACCTGTTCCCCTCCCCCCTCTTTCTTTCTCTCTATTGGTTCTGCCCAACCATCTCCCCACCTCCTGCTCCTCTCTCTCCATTCTCAGGCCCAGAGACGGACTGAAGTTGGCCCCTTATCCTCCCCTTGCCCTGAAGTTAGCTGGTCACCACCTGAGATTCTGGTCTCCCATCTGTAGGTGTTGATACACAGTAGAGTTCGGAGCAGCTCTTCTCTCCCTGTTCATAGACGCCAACCTCAGAATTATTGTCATAACACATCCCAGCATTTAATCATAAATGAGAACGTTTCTGTGATATCACATGACCATTGATTTTACTCTTTAGTGTCTGTGGGGAGTTTCTTGAGTCCAATTCCATCTGGATCTCCTCTTTTTTGTTGTTGCTGTTGTTGAAGCTGTTTCAAGTAAGGGGATTTTCGTTTATTCCTTGTAATTATTCTTCAATTGGTATTTATATCTCTTCTTATTTTTTAAGATATTTTTGTTGATTTCTGAGAGGATTTTGGAGGGGAGACAGAGCGATAGAAATATCAACGATGAGAGAGTCATTGATCGCCTGTTTCCTCCACCTCCCCTCCTGGGGATGAAGCCGTTCACCCAGGCATGTGCCCTGACTGGGAGTCGAACCCTGACCTCTTGGTTCATAGATTGATGCTCAACCCCTCAGCCACACCGGCTGGACTATATCTATTCTTAAATAATAAAATATTTCAACATTTAAGACACATCCACCTATACTCTCACCATTTTGTATTGTTATTGCATATATCTTACAGCTATATATTTGATAAACTTTAGAGAACATTAATAATTACTTGGATGTAAACAATTATTTTTATTTCCAGATTAATTGAGATATTTTTGATATAGAATGCATGCAAGTTTAAGGTATGCAATGTGCATATTTGATGCACCTACATAGTGAAGTGATTACCACAATAAGGTTCATCAACACTTCCATCCTCTCATGTAATTACCATTGTTATGGTTATAACACTGATGATGTATAACCATAACAACTTTCAGGTATTCAATACATTCCTGTTAATTGTACTTGCCATGCTGTCCACTACATCCCCAGGAATTGTTCCTCTTGTAGCTGAAAGTTACCCTTGACCAACATCTTCCATTTCCCCACCCCCAGCCCCTGCATCAACGTCTACTCTCTTTCTGTGAGTTCAGCGTCTTCAGACCCCACTGTGAGAACACACTGCAGGGAAACAATGACTATTTTGAAAAATACCCCTCACAGTTGTTCCTCTCATGCAGTTCTGGGTTTTCATCACAGTTCATTCTCCTCTATGCAAAAATGTATTAAAGACGTAAATATAATACCAACCACTATAAACTCTCAGAGGGAAACATAGGCGGAAATCCCAGCACATTGGGTTTTGCAATGATTTCCTGGATATTTACATCGAAAGCACAGACAAGGGAAGCAAACAGAGACAAGTGGGACAGTACCAACTTCAAAACCTGAGCACAAAAGGACGCTCTCACCAGACTCCAGAGGCCACCTACAGGATGGGAGAGAAACTGTATGTGTGCAGGAGTTAATATCCAGCATCTATTACAAACTCACACACGACAACATAAGAAACCCAAATAACACAATTGAAGAAATGGCTACAACCTTTAATAGACATTTCTCCAAAGATGATGTACAAATGGCCAACAAAGTCATGAAGATAGACGCAACATCAGTAATCCTACAGAACCATGAAAGAACTCCTTAGACCTGTGGGAGTTTTGCTTGGTACATCAGGGCATTAATATTCCAAACCCCACATCAGATTCCTGCACGGACAAGGAAGGTATGGTGAAGGCACATAGTAGGCCCGCAGTACAGAAAGTGATAGGGGAAGTGCAGTGATAAGCAGCCCCGAAGGTTACATACCCAAAACTAGCATTAGAAATTTTATGTCATGGGAGTCTCACCTCCACAAAAGTTTCCTCATTAGTTTATTTGGAAATCGCACAGACACACACACACACACACACACACACACACACATGTGCACACACACACATCCATATACACATACAGAGTTCTCTCTCTGGGATGAATTCTGTGGCCCTTCTTGAATGTGAAAATGGTTGCTTCCTTCCCCCAGTTCTTTTGTGTGGGTTGCTTTAGGATGGGCCTTGTGCTCTGAGGTGAGTCAGCCTGGCCCCTTCTCTGTCCCTGAGGCCCGTCTTACCTGGCACAGCTTATGGGGAAATTTCCTCTTCTGCATTTCTGTCTATACCTTGTAACTTGGAGAATGAGAGAGAGAGAGAGAGAGAGAGAGAGAGAGAGAGAGAGAGAGGAAGAGAGGTGTGTGAGAGAGAAACATAAACCGGTTGCTTCCCATACTTGCCCTGAGCTGGTATGGAAACCTAGGGATGTGTCCTGACCCGGAATTGAACCTGCAACCAATGTGCTGTAGGGAGGATGCTTCCACCAACAGAGCCATCCGGACAGGGCTATCTATTTCCACCTGTAATGTCCTCCCAAACAGATGTATCATTTCCTCCGCTGAGGACGTGCATACCATATATTTGTGATGTGCATCTCTGAATATTCCAGGAACATCGTAAGTTTTGATGTGTCCATGACATCTTTCATACCATCCTGTTATTCGTGGTCACTGTGCTATACGGATGCATTTGAGTTTTGCAATTTGATTTTGTCGCTAGAAACCTTGCTGACTCTCTTCTCAAGCCCCTACATGTATCTGTATGTACGTGTGGATTTTCCTATATAGACACAATCCTTGATGGAGAAAGTCAGCTTGATTTTCTTTGGAATTTCCATAGCTTTTACTTATTGCTCTTGCCTTGCTGGACTCGGACCCGGTGCTGCTGCGTTAGGTGTGGAACTTGCTGAGCTCACCCCCTATCCCGCCAGGGGAGCCTCCTGCATCCCTAGCTGACTGTGAGGTTATCCTGAAGGCCTTTGACATCCCCCTGCCCTCATTGGTTCCTCCCTTGAGATCCCATCAGTCAAGGGCAGCGAGGCACACAGAAGCCCCACTATGTGCTCCAGCAGCGGGAATGGAATGTCAGGGTTTGTGATGCCCGGGTTGGGACACAGATGGAGCAGAAAGGGATCCCTTCCCATCAGCCTGGGTGAGGCTGTGAACAGGGACCCAGCGATGAGGGGCCAGGAAGGTGGATTTTCATGAATTTTCAGGCGGCAGCGCTGCTGCTGTGCTGAGGTCCCGCCAAATGGGGCGTCCGTTTCCGATGGGGCTTGTGGGCCTCCCTGTCCCTCAGACACTCAGACCCTTGAGCCAACATAGGTGCGTCACACGTCCTCAAGAAGCCCTCAGAGCCAAGGCCTTTACCACTCAGTCTGCCCCTGGGTTCCACCCTCCACTGGACTTGGGTCTAAATTCCTCTCTCTCTTGCTCCCACTTGGTCTAAAAAATATTAAAATGATCCTTTTCCAGAATGTTCAACAGTTTCAGCTGGAGGGCGGGTCCCCCCCAATCCCCAGGACCAGCTCTGAGTGTGCTGGCCCCTGTGCGACCTCGCTCCCCACTTACACATCCTCTGTAAGGGGGTCACTTTCTGGACAAGCCACTCAGCCTCCCAGGGCCTCAGTACATTTGCCTGCAGGGTCATGGGGTCGGGGCATGGGGGAGGGGAGACAGAACGATTTCACAGGAACCACCCCCCAACTCCTGTGGAGGCCAAGTTCCCTTTCCAGCCTGGCCACAGTCTCTCCCCCAGGGCTTCCTGTTGGGGTGTCCTAGGCCCCACCCCAGAGCTGGGCACTTCGCTCCCTGACACAGGGACCCAGACCTGCTCTACCCTGCCAGAGGCAGCAATGGTGGTCCTGCTGCTGCTGCCTCTACTGTTGGGGGGTGAATGTCTAGGTAGGGGGGCAGGGCAGGTGGGGGAGGGGCGAGGGCAGCATCAGAGCCTCAATCCCTATCCCCCAGGATCCCTGCAGCAGCAGCATCCAGGCTATGAGATCCAAGTGCAGGAATCGGTGACGGTGCAGGAGGGTCTGTGTGTCCATGTGCCCTGCTCCTTCTCCTACCCGTGGAGTCCGTGGTCTTCCTCTAGTGAACTGTACACCTTCTGGTACCGGGACTGGGACAACACAGATTATGCTGCTCCTGTGGCCTCGAGCAACCGGAATAAAACAGTGAAGAGAGAGACCCGAGGCCGCTTCCTCCTCGCGGACCCCACAGCCAACAACTGTTCCCTGCAAATCAGAGACGCCAGGAGGAGCGACTCAGGACGCTATGTCTTCCGAGTGGAGAGAGGAGATTCTGTGAAATATAATTACAAAGAGAAGATGCTGGATTTGCAGGTGACAGGTACAGTAGGGGCCCTGGAGAAAAACCAGGGACAGGGGACCCCGTCTTAGAGCAGGAACAGGACACTGGACACTCCCTGTCCAGGCCGTGGGCCCTGGGTGGTGGGAAGGGACACAGGGCCTGGGTGAGCTCAGCCCGAGGCAGGGCCTCTCTCAGGGTCCCGCTCTGAGTCCACACCCCTGCAGCCCAGGCACCTGCCTTTCTCCCCTGCAGCCCTGACAGAGAAACCCCACATCCGTGTACGGGAGCCTCTGGAGTCCGGCCGCCCCACACAGCTGGCCTGCAGCCTGCCAGGGGCCTGCGAAGGGGGACGACCTCTCACCTTCTCCTGGGCGGGAGCCGCTGTGGACTCGCTGGACCCCCAGAACCTCCGCTCCTTGGTGCTCACCTTCACCCCGAGGCCCCGGGACCATGGCACCAGCCCCACCTGTCAGGTGAAACTCCAAGGATCTTGGGTGGCCACGCAGAGAACCATCCGGCTCAATGTCTCCTGTGAGTGTTGGAGGGGGGGCTGGGTCCCCCGGGGCAGAGGGAGGATCAGTCCTGGGTTTCCTTTCCCAGAGGATTTTGCTGAAGTAAAACCCCAGCCCTCCCGCTTAGGGGCCCCTGGGGCAAAGGGCCAATGCCCCCCTGGAGTCAGCACATTTTCCCTCCCCAGATGCTCCTCTGCTGACCATCAGGCTTTCCCAGGGAAACTGCACAGGTAGGAGCCCTTCCCTCCTCTCTGGGGAAGGAGGGGGCGGGGCCTCTGCCAGCTCAGGGCCTGGAGGTGAGACCCTCCTCCCTGGCCCTGCAGCCCCTCGGGGTGGGTCTTCCTGTCCTCCTTCATCTCTGATCCGGTCATTGTCTCCGGGAGGCTGCCATGTTCCCGTTCCCCACTCTCCCGGGCATGCTCACCTCCCCAGGTCTCCCCTGGGGTCCCCGTCCCATCCTGACCAGTCCTGATGCCGCCCACAAATTTAGTCCAGCCACAGATCTGCATAAGTAGGCACATCTTTTTCTTTTTTTAAAAAATTATCACCAGAGGATATTTTTTCCACTAATTTTTAGAGAGAGTGGAAGGGAGGGGGAGAGAGAGAAAGAAACATGGATGTGTGTGTGTGTGTGTGTGTGTGTGTGTGTGTGAGAGAGAGAGTGAGAGAGAGAGAAACATTGATGTGAGAGACACATCAATTGGTTGCCTCCTGTACACAGCCCACCTGGGAATTGAACCTGCAACCCTTTTGTGCTCAGGCCAACGCTCTAACCACTGAGTGACACCGTCCAGGACTCAGTAGGCACCTCTTGCTGGTGCCTCTCGACCCCACTTACCCCCGGTGTGGTCTGACTCACTCTAGATGCTTCCCTTTCTCACCAGTCACACCCTGTCAGCAACTGTAGGAAACCTCACCCCTCACATCACTTCCCTCTTCTGCTTTCCTGGGGCCCCGGAGCCCATCCAGCCTTGTCCTGGACCCGGGGCCCCATGGCCTCAGCCTGCTCCTCAGCCTCCCGCCTCCAGTCTCCTCTCTGTGGTCGCGAACCCACGCGGCCCAGCAGGATCTTTCTAGTCTCGGCCCTGACCCTCTGCCTCCCTGTGCACAGCTCGCTGCTGCTCTCTGGGCGCCCAGGGCACAGCCCGATGCCCTCAGCGAGGCCCTAGAGGCACCGGGCTCCCTGACTCCGCCTCCTCTCCACCATCATCAAGCGCTTGGTGCTCCTGGGCCTTCTGCCTCCGAAATTGCCGGTGTCCGTGCATCTCCTCTCCCCTGCCGGGCTGCCTCCATTCCTGAAGTATCTCCACCTGAGGGGCCCGCCCACTCCTCCCCTGTCCACCCTCAGCTCAGCCCCTTCTTCCTGGGAGCCGGGCCTGACCAGCAGGGTCCCTGGCTCTTGAGCCACCTTCTGTGTTCCTCTCCCAGCTCTGAAGACCCTGAGCAACCACACATCCCTGCCTGTCCTGGAGGGCCAGTCCCTGCTCCTGCTCTGCGAGGCTGACAGCAACCCCCCTGCCACGCTGAGCTGGTCCCAGGAGGGGAGAGCCCTGAACCTGTCCCAGCCCTCAGCACCCGGAGTCCTGGAGCTGCCCCACGTGGGGGCAGGAGACGGAGGGGAGTTCACTTGCCGGGCTCAGCACCCGCTGGGCTCCCAGCACGTCTCTTTCAGCCTCTCTGTGCAGAGTGAGTTTCAGGACAGGTGTGGGGCGGCCGCCTGGTCAGGTGTTGGGCTGTGGGTGGACTGACACCTGGACAACACGTCACCCTTCTCCTGCGTCCCCAGGCAGCCCTCCCTGCAGATGTGTGACTGAGGAGCAGCAGGGCTCCTGGCCCCTGGTCCTCACCCTGATCAGAGGGGCCCTCATGGGGGCTGGCTTCCTCCTCACCTACGTCCTCACCTGGCTCTACTACACCAGGTGAGCAGGCCTGTCCCTCCCGGGGAAGGTCAGGGATTGGCCCTGAGGGGCAGGTGGGGCCGAGCTGTCCGGCTCTGCCTGGAGTTAGAGCCAAAGTGGCCGAGTCTCTGAGCTGACACCTGTGTGGGCCCCGCAGGTGTGGAGGCCCCCGGAACAGGAGGCAGAGCTCCTGATGGATCCTCCCTTCCTCTCAAGATGGGACTGAGGTGTGGACACCAGGCTAGAGGGACCGTCCTGGGACGTCAATGTCACCTTCTCCCTGGAAGCTCCTGACTCACCTGCCTCCAATGTGCCCCTGGGGTTTCAGTGTGTGGAAGTGACTGAGTGACGACAAGGGGAGTCAGTGCCATGGAGAGAAGACTTTTACTCTTTTTTTAAAATTTTTTTATTTTATTTTATTTTTTTAAATTTTTTTTTGCTAAAAGTATTACAAAGGGTATTACATATGTGTCGTTCCCCCCCCGCCCCCGTCCTTGACAATCCCCTACCCTCTCTTACGCCCCAGTGTCTTATGTCCATTAGTTATGCTCATATGCATGCATACAAGTCCTTCGGTTGATCTCTTACTCCCCTCCTTCCTGCCCCCCAACCCTCCCTGGCCTTCCCACTGCAGTTTGACAATCAGTTTGAGGCAGCTCTGCCTCTGTATCTATTATTGTTCAAAAGT